CCCCCCCCCCCGCTTCCCCGGTCTCCCCCTGCGGCGCGGGAATGGTGCGGCCCGGCCGGGTGCGGGAAGCGGGGCCCCCCCTTCGCCCCCGCGCGCCGGACGGGACCAAATGGGCGGGGAGGGGGGGGGGAGGAAGCGACACGCGCGCATTGTTCGCGGTGAACTTTGCTGAGGGGGACGTTGAGGACACCCCAAAATCTCCCCCAGCACCGGGAGGGCCGCAGAGATTTGAGGGGGGGAGAGCCTGGGAGGGCCCGGGGGGGGTCCCCCAGGTGAGGCCCTGAGAGGGTCCTGGAGAGGGCAAAGCCGGGGGGTTCATCCCTGTGAAATTCCCTGTATTGTATCCCTGTGCTCCCTCACGTATCCCTAAACTGCCGTGTGCGAGCGTCCTGTAGGGGCCAAGGACGGGGGAGTCATCCCAACACATCTCTTGTGTCCCTGGAAATTCCCTGTGCATCCTTGAATATCCCTGAATATCCCCGAATATCCCTTAATATCCCTGTACATTCCCTGTTCACTACTTCCCTGTGCATCCCGGCCAGAGTGTCCTGTGGAGGCCGAGCTGAGGGGGAGCCTTCCCTCAAAATTCTCATATTTCCCTCAAAATCCCTGCATCTTCCTTGAAATCCCCGCATTTCCCTGTATATTCCTGCGCTTCCCTCTAATTCCTTGTATTTCTCTTTAAATCCCTGTGTTTCTCTCTGTGTATTGCTGTATTTCGCTCTAAATCCCTGTGTTTCCTGTAAATCTCTGTATTTTCCTTTGCTCCATCTCTTCCCTTCCTGCCCTTCCCTTCCCACCCCTGGGAGATCATCCTGGAGAAGCCAAGGAATGGGAAGTTGGGCGCTTTTATCCCTCTGGGTTTCCAGGTTCATCCCTGAGGATTTCCAGGTTTATCCCTGAGGGTTTCCAGGTTTATTCCTCGGGGTTTCCAGGTTCATCTCTGAGAGTTTCCAAGTTCATCCCTAATATTCTCCAGGATTTTATCCCTCGGGGTTTCCAGGTTTATCCCTGATATCCTCCAGGATTTTATCCTGAGTCTCTCCAGTTATATCCCTGACATTCTCCTGGTGTCCCTGGCATCTCTGAGAGGTTCCCCATTACCCCATTCCCGGTGCCATTCCCAGCACTGATCCCTGCCATTCCCGGTGCCATTCCCTGTGCTATTTCCTGCCATTCCCAGTGCCATTCCCAGCACTGATCCCTGCCATTCCCGGTGCCATTCCCAGTGCCATTCCCGGTGCCATTCCCAGTGCCATTCCCGGTGCCATTCCTGGTGCCATTCCCGGCACTGATCCCTGCCATTCCCTGTGCCGTTCCCGGTGCCATTCCCGGTGCCATTCCCGGTGCCAATCCCTGCCATTCCCAGTGCCAATCCCTGCTGTTCCTGGTGCCATTCCCGGTGCCATTCCTGGTGCCATTCCCGATGCCAATCCCTGCCATTCCCAGTACCATTCCCAGCACTGATCCCTGCCATTCCCTGTGCCATTCCCAGTACCATTCCCGATGCCAATCCCTGCTGTTCCCGGTGCCATTCCCGGTGCCATTCCCAGTGCCATTCCTGGTGCCATTCCCGGCACTGATCCCTGCCATTCCCTGTGCCGTTCCCGGTGCCATTCCCAGTGCCAATCCCTGCCATTCCCGGCACTGATCCCTGCCATTCCCTGTGCCGTTCCCGGTGCCGTTGCAGGCTGGGCGAGCAGTACTACCGGGACGCCATGGAGCAGTGCCACAGCTACAACGCGCGGCTCTGCGCCGAGCGCAGCGTGCGCCTGCCCTTCCTGGACTCGCAGACCGGCGTGGCCCAGAGCAACTGCTACATCTGGATGGAGAAACGGCACCGCGGGCCCGGTACGGCACCGGGAACGGCACCGGGAAAACGCCGGGAGCGGCGGGGGATGGTGGGGGAGTGGTGGGGAACAACAGGGAAACGAGGGGAAAACACCAGGAGAGCAGTGGGGAAACAGCAGGGAAATGATGGGGAACAATGAGGAAATGATGGGGAAATAACAGGGAAACAATGGGAAAACACCAGGAGAACAATGGGGAAATAGCAGGGAAATGATGGGGAAACAGCAGGGAAATGATGGGGAACAATGAGGAAATGATGGGGAAATAACAGGGAAACAATGGGAAAACACCAGGAGAACAATGGGGAAATAGCAGGGAAATGATGGGGAAACAGCAGGGAAATGATGGGGAACAATGAGGAAATGATGGGGAAATAACAGGGAAACAATGGGAAAACACCAGGAGAACAATGGGGAAATAGCAGGGAAATGATGGGGAAACAGCAGGGAAATGATGGGGAACAATGAGGAAATGATGGGGAAATAACAGGGAAACAATGGGAAAACACCAGGAGAACAATGGGGAAATAGCAGGGAAATGATGGGGAAACAGCAGGGAAATGATGGGGAACAATGAGGAAATGATGGGGAAATAACAGGGAAACAATGGGAAAACACCAGGAGAACAATGGGGAAATAGCAGGGAAATGATGGGGAAACAGCAGGGAAATGATGGGGAACAATGAGGAAATGATGGGGAAATAACAGGGAAACAATGGGAAAACACCAGGAGAACAATGGGGAAATAGCAGGGAAATGATGGGGAAACAGCAGGGAAATGATGGGGAACAATGAGGAAATGATGGGGAAATAACAGGGAAACAATGGGAAAACACCAGGAGAACAATGGGGAAATAGCAGGGAAATGATGGGGAAACAGCAGGGAAATGATGGGGAACAATGAGGAAATGATGGGGAAATAACAGGGAAACAATGGGAAAACACCAGGAGAACAATGGGGAAATAGCAGGGAAATGATGGGGAAACAGCAGGGAAATGATGGGGAACAATGAGGAAATGATGGGGAAATAACAGGGAAACAATGGGAAAACACCAGGAGAACAATGGGGAAATAGCAGGGAAATGATGGGGAAACAGCAGGGAAATGATGGGGAACAATGAGGAAATGATGGGGAAATAACAGGGAAACAATGGGAAAACACCAGGAGAACAATGGGGAAATAGCAGGGAAATGATGGGGAAACAGCAGGGAAATGATGGGGAACAATGAGGAAATGATGGGGAAATAACAGGGAAACAATGGGAAAACACCAGGAGAACAATGGGGAAATAGCAGGGAAATGATGGGGAAACAGCAGGGAAATGATGGGGAACAATGAGGAAATGATGGGGAAATAACAGGGAAACAATGGGAAAACACCAGGAGAACAATGGGGAAATAGCAGGGAAATGATGGGGAAACAGCAGGGAAATGATGGGGAACAATGAGGAAATGATGGGGAAATAACAGGGAAACAATGGGAAAACACCAGGAGAACAATGGGGAAATAGCAGGGAAATGATGGGGAAACAGCAGGGAAATGATGGGGAACAATGAGGAAATGATGGGGAAATAACAGGGAAACAATGGGAAAACACCAGGAGAACAATGGGGAAATAGCAGGGAAATGATGGGGAAACAGCAGGGAAATGATGGGGAACAATGAGGAAATGATGGGGAAATAACAGGGAAACAATGGGAAAACACCAGGAGAACAATGGGGAAATAGCAGGGAAATGATGGGGAAACAGCAGGGAAATGATGGGGAACAATGAGGAAATGATGGGGAAATAACAGGGAAACAATGGGAAAACACCAGGAGAACAATGGGGAAATAGCAGGGAAATGATGGGGAAACAGCAGGGAAATGATGGGGAACAATGAGGAAATGATGGGGAAATAACAGGGAAACAATGGGAAAACACCAGGAGAACAATGGGGAAATAGCAGGGAAATGATGGGGAAACAGCAGGGAAATGATGGGGAACAATGAGGAAATGATGGGGAAATAACAGGGAAACAATGGGAAAACACCAGGAGAACAATGGGGAAATAGCAGGGAAATGATGGGGAAACAGCAGGGAAATGATGGGGAACAATGAGGAAATGATGGGGAAATAACAGGGAAACAATGGGAAAACACCAGGAGAACAATGGGGAAATAGCAGGGAAATGATGGGGAAACAGCAGGGAAATGATGGGGAACAATGAGGAAATGATGGGGAAATAACAGGGAAACAATGGGAAAACACCAGGAGAACAATGGGGAAATAGCAGGGAAATGATGGGGAAACAGCAGGGAAATGATGGGGAACAATGAGGAAATGATGGGGAAATAACAGGGAAACAATGGGAAAACACCAGGAGAACAATGGGGAAATAGCAGGGAAATGATGGGGAAACAGCAGGGAAATGATGGGGAACAATGAGGAAATGATGGGGAAATAACAGGGAAACAATGGGAAAACACCAGGAGAACAATGGGGAAATAGCAGGGAAATGATGGGGAAACAGCAGGGAAATGATGGGGAACAATGAGGAAATGATGGGGAAATAACAGGGAAACAATGGGAAAACACCAGGAGAACAATGGGGAAATAGCAGGGAAATGATGGGGAAACAGCAGGGAAATGATGGGGAACAATGAGGAAATGATGGGGAAATAACAGGGAAACAATGGGAAAACACCAGGAGAACAATGGGGAAATAGCAGGGAAATGATGGGGAAACAGCAGGGAAATGATGGGGAACAATGAGGAAATGATGGGGAAATAACAGGGAAACAATGGGAAAACACCAGGAGAACAATGGGGAAATAGCAGGGAAATGATGGGGAAACAGCAGGGAAATGATGGGGAACAATGAGGAAATGATGGGGAAATAACAGGGAAACAATGGGAAAACACCAGGAGAACAATGGGGAAATAGCAGGGAAATGATGGGGAAACAGCAGGGAAATGATGGGGAACAATGAGGAAATGATGGGGAAATAACAGGGAAACAATGGGAAAACACCAGGAGAGCAGTGGGGATATAGCAGGGAAATGATGGGGAAATAACAGGGAAACAATGGGAAAATACCAGGAGAAGAGTGGGGAAATAACAGGGAAGTGATGGGGAAATAACAGGGAAGTGATGGGGAAATAACAGGGAAACTAAGGGAGAACAATGGGGAAATAACAGGAGAACAATGGGGAAATGATGGCAGAATGCTGGGAAACGATGGGGGAGCAGTAGGGAAACATCAGGGAAATTATGGGAAATAGTTGGAGAACAGGGAAATGATGGGAAACAACAGGGAAGTGATGGAGAACAACGAGGAAATGATGGCAGAATGGTGGGAAATGATGGAAAACACTGGGAGAGCAATGGGGAAGCAGCAGGAAAATGATGGAAAACAATGGGGAAATGATGGCAGAATGGTGGGAAATGATGGGAAACAGCAGGGGAATGGTGGGAAACAACAGGAAAACACTGGGAGAACAGTGGGGAAACAGCAGGGAAATTATGGGAAATAGTTGGGGAGCAGCAAGGAAATGATGGGAGAGTGATGGGAAACAACAGGGAAATCATGGGAAACAAGGAGGAAGTGATGGAAGAAAAATGAGGAAACATCAGGAGAATAAGAGGAAAACACTGGGAAAACACCATGGAA